GCGAATGGGAGTGCGTCGCGTACTCGCACTTTAGGTAAATCACCCATTTTATATTTGACCGTATCGGCACTAAATCGGAAGCAGCGCATGCACGACCGCACTATTTTGCGCACTTGATTTCGACCGTCGAGAATCCAAAATTTCTGTCTGATATTATAGAGAGTCGTTTGAATACCGGTGTGATGGTATCTTTCGTGAGTTTCCCGGATAATGAGATCCGTGAGAAAATGACGATTAGGGATTAAAATCGGGTGCTTCCGAGAGAACGTCAATTCCGAGTTTTTAAGGCGCCCACCGACACGAATTAGACCGTTACTGTCAATGAATGGGTTTAATGCCGCGATATTGCTCTTCTTTATCGCTTGCTTTTTTGTTAGTTCGTTTAATTCGCATGCAAAACACGATGCTTGAATGATTTTCATGACACGTATTTCCGCCTCGTCTAATTCTTTTATGCATAATTCCCCCCGATACATGTTTCCCGGTCGAAAACGCAGGCATAGAGCCACGATGCGTACTGTCTTCGCATATGACAAATACTTGCGGAGAATACTACAATCGTCGATGTTCGTGGTTAGGCAAACGTTCTTTCTCAATTCGGGTATCTCGTTTATTTCTGTCAGCCCTTGGGGCCAGTCACCCTCGTCCCTCCCCAGCCACGACGGTCCTGTAAACCAAGCGCGATTGGCGAGAAAGACGCCGGGCAACTGACCCCTCGAGAGTGCATCGGCTGGATTATCTCTAGATCTGATATGTCTCCAGACCACAGATTCAGTTATTTCCTGAATGCTAACTACGCGATGCGACACGTAAGGTTTCAAGAGATGAGGAGGAGTTTTTATCCAATGTAATGCTACTGTCGAATCGCTCTACAAAACTATCTTGTCGCACGTGAGTTCTATCGCGTTTTTTACTTCGAGATATAATTTGGCTAACAGAAGAGCTCCGCATAGTTCGAGACGGGGTGTCGTTACCGGTTTTAATGGCGCGACTCGGGATTTGGCACACAATAGCTGACAACGTATATTATTGTGTGCGTCTTTCGTCCGAACATATAAGCAAGCACCGTAACCTGCATTACTTGCGTCGCAAAAGCCATGTATTTGCACTTCATCGTAATCCGACATCAATACTGGACGATCTATGCTTAGTTGATTGATTAAATTTAATTGCGTGATAAAGTCTGTCCAGGCCGTGTATATACTCGGTGGGATGGATTCATCCCATTCTAACTTACATTGCCATAATTGCTGCATGAGTTTTTTCGCGTATAATAAAACCGGTCCTAGAATGCCCAACGGGTCGAAAATCTTAGCGATTTCGGATATCATGATACGTTTCGTAACCCTCTCAGCGCGATCGATAGAGCGAACCGAATAACGCAACACATCTTTGCTCGCGCACCACGATAAACCTAGCGTTTTTAATGGGTTATTTTTATCAAGCAGAAGGCTTGTATTTACGGCGTCAGGATTTAAATCCTCTATAACGCGTCTTTCATTTGATGCCCATTGCCGGATATTGAATCCGCCCCGAGATAATAATGCGATTATCTCGTTGCGTAATGCATGAGCCTCTTCGATCGTGTTCGTACCGGTTAACAAATCGTCGACGTATAAATGTGTTTTAAGAACTTTCGCGGCGGCGGGGTAGGCATGATGCTCGTCATCGGCGAGCTTATGAATCGAACGTATGGCAAGATAAGGGGAGGACGATACGCCGAATGTTAACGTATTGAGTTGAAAGGTTTTAATTTCATTATTCTCGCGCCAGAGTATGCGCTGGTATTTTCTATTGTCCTCATGCACCATTACCTGTCGATACATTTTCTCTATGTCAGCAGTAAGAACACATTTATACGTGCGGAATCTTATTAAATGCGCGAATATTGTGTCTTGAATCGTTGGCCCTGTCATAAGTGTGTCATTTAAAGATATACCGTTCTCCGCCTTAGCCGACGCGTCGAATACCACGCGAACCTTAGTCGTGTTGCTCGAAGCTTTAATTACCGCGTGATGCGGCATGTAGTATCCGTCATCGGAAATATCGTTTATCGGAGTCATTTGATTCAGATCTAAGTATTCCCGTATAACTCGCGAATACGATGTCTTTAAATTCGGATCTGCATCGAGTTTTCGTTCGAGAGCAAGCAATCGCTTGAGCGCGACTGTTCTGGACTTGCCGAAACGCGTACTCGCCTCGCGAAACGGCAATTTGACTATATAGCGCCCGCTGCTATCACGCGTAACATTTGCTAAAAAATGAGCCTCGCATTCAAGATCTTCGTTCGATCTCGGTGAATTACCCGTTATCTCTTCGATATTCCAAAAATTTGATATCTGCTGTTCTAAATTCGTTAATACATGTGCGTTGTTTTTGGAATAATTCCGCGCCGCGCCTCCGCCCGCAACGACCCATCCGAGTCGCGTCTTTTGCAAATATAGATCGTAACCGTTACGCGACAGATTGATTTGGCCGATTGAGAACAATGACAATGTTGCTCCGGCTCCAATTAATATATCAACCGGGCGTGGCAAGTGAAATTCGGGGTCCGCGAGTTTAATATTAGACGGAATCTTTATTTTTTCTCGCGGAAAAACTTCGGACGGGACTAAATCGGATATTGCTGGAATGGATAAGCACGTTAATTCTTTCCTGAATTCGTTGTGCGCTGATTGAATAATAATTTGAACAATCCCTTTCGAAACCGTATTCATCGAGTTAATAGTACCAATCGGCAACGAGCATGCGGATACGGGAAGTTTCAGGACCTTGACCATTCTTTCCGATATGAAATTTGCGGTGGCGCACGTGTCTAACAATGCGCGACATTGCAGTAAGTTGGAATCGCAATCTTGTACTAAAACTGTTGCTGTAATCATCAATTGTGGCGCGACATTCAGTAAAATTGCTGCAAGGCAAGTAACGGCATCGGCACCCGATTTTTCCAGTCATTCGCTCTTTTCTGCCTTTGAATTCGTCGCGCCGGATTTCGTTTCCGCGGGGGAGAATTTCTCAAGATGTAGGAGCGTATTGTGACGCTTTTGGCAGATGGTGCAATTCGTGTAATTACAAGCCTTTCCTCTATGAGATCGCAGACAGTTGTAACAAAGTTTCGCGTTTCTTACGACCTCGAAGCGCTTAGGAACATCTAATTGTCTAAATTTATCGCACTTAAATAATGGATGGATCTTGCTCTTACATGCCACGCACCTGTTCGCGGTGTTCGTTACAAAAACCTTGTTCATTGCCTGTCTCTTTTTTGGGGGAAATAACTCTTTGCTATCGTCGCGTTTACATGAATCGGATCGAGAGCGTTTAGACACACGAACCGCGGTCCTATAGAGAAACTCGTATAATTCGTCGATTTTTGGAAACTCGTCTCGAGCGAGTGTCTCCTCCCACTTCTCGGCTGTATTTTTGGGCAGTTTGCTTTCTACAATATTGACGAGTATCTCGGAACCGACGTTCACCCCCAATGCGGCTAAGGAAGCGACATGCTGTTGGGCGTCGTCCGCCAATTTGGATAACCCTTCTGTCGTTTCCTTTTCTAAGACGGGCAAATTTATGAGTAACGTAAGATGTCTCGATATCAAGATTCGTTTAACTTCATAAGCGCGTTTCAATAGTTCCCACGCTTTCGAATAATTCGCACCCTCGACGGCCAAAATCTTAACTTTATTAGCTGCATCGCCCGTCAATGCCGATCGCAAATATTGCAACTTCTCTACATCGCCTAAATCCGTCCGTGAATCTATCATCGCGTGGAATGCATTTTTAAACGACAGCCAATTTTCGCATTGCCCGTCGAAGGTCGGCAACGGCGCTTCCGGAAGTTTTATCCGTCGTTTTATAGTTCCTGCAGTTCCCGTGTCGCTGTTGCCGGTTGTCGCGTTCGCGTGCTCGGACGCCCCGGCTCCCGTCACGGGCGTCTCAGGATTCGTTATTTCTTCGACTTTAGTAGCTAACGTGTAAAATCTGTCTTGCAGACTTATGAATTCCTCGCTGTGATGATCATTCGGATCTAACACTATGAGTTCGTCGTTGAACTCTTCGTAAGCGTGATATAATTCGGTGATGCGAGCTATACGTAACTTTATCGCAGTCTTATCGTATCGTTCCCGTTCTAATAGATTCGTCAAACTAGTGATTTGCGATTTCAATGAAATTCGTTTTTGTACGAGGAGTTTAACGCGGTTGGCCATGATTCAGATGTAAAACAGAAAAGGGGAGGGATAATTGCTTGATCGAGAATCCGATTACTTGGATTGTACTCGCCTGATATTTCGCTGTTGACCGTTATATTCTGTCTCAGCCTTTTCGCCGAAGTTTCGCTTGATGAAATGCGGTTGAATGGACGTCGATGTTTGTTAACGTCTTGCTCGTTTCGTGATCGTTCACGCTTTCCTCGCGAACGACCTCACAGGAGGCACCAAATGTTGAGGAGGCGTAAGGAAGTTCACTCCGTACACTGATTTTCGTATATATGATGTTTATTAATGAAGAGGACTCGGCCTCGTATGCGGATACAATGTTATAACCGACAAGACTCGGCTTGCCGTCGCGTTACGAGTCTCGGCTCGTACTAACAAAAATACGGACTAGTTTTGCTAAAGGTTAACGATCT